GGTTTAGATTGCAGATAAATTAGATAGTTAAATATCTATAGTCTGAGTCTTATTCTTGTAAAATATTTGTAATTATTGGTCTTATAGACTAGAGAAACCCCTAGTGGATTTTCAATACAAATTATTAAATAAAGATAAAGGCAAAACCTCACCTTAAAAAAAAAAATAATTATTATAAATATCGTTGTCTATGTTCCTAATTTTAGTGTACAGCATTACACATCTATCTTATTATGATAAAATTATTTTACATGTAAAAATAATACCAATTATTGCCGAAATCAATAGCTTGATAAAATTGTTTAACCGAATTCAATAAATTTTTAAATTCGGTATTATTGATATTAAATTTTTTATCATTATAGTAATACTGATAATACCGAATTTAAAAAATTTATTGAATTCAGTTGAATGTTTATCAGAATTTATAAGAGCAGCTGTAAAACATATAGGTGTCGCCATGTGAAAACTGGGAAGTCTAAAACTAGATTTCTTTAGACAACATAATACAAACTTTTAATTAATCTAATTAGAATAATAAATTATACTATTTTTTAATTATATATTAGTATCATTTAAAGTTTATAGTCCATAGTCAAAAGAAAGCTATTTTTAGATATTTTAGTTTTTACTATATGGCTCTCATATGATAATCTATGAATATAAACTTAAAAATAAGTATAGATTTACTGTTAAATGTGATTAGTAAATTATTGAATACTATCAAAAAAAATTTGTAAATCTTATTTATAAGATTTACATATTGTTTCTTACTTAGCATTTTCTTGGCATTGCTTGGCAAAATTGATTAGCTTTGTAAAATGTTCTGCTTAGAAATTCTATTTTGCCAAGATTTTCACATATTTTAGATAATCCAAAAATGATGTTGCAATATATAATAGTCTTAAAAGTAATTAATTATTGAGCTAAATCTATAAAAAGGATAGTTTTTTGCTCTTCTAAAAACTATAGTTTTCTTTATCTTAAAATCCTTTAATTAAATTATATTTGATCTATTCTTTTTTGATATTAAAAATTATTTATTTTTTTTATATATTTGTTCTTTTTTTTAATAAATTTTATTTTTTTAAAAAATAATATAAAGTGAAAGCTGGTTTCGGGAATAGTATTTTGGCAAATACTAGCTTTATATTATTAAAATTTAAAACTCACTTTTTATATATTTTATTTTTTTAATAAATTTTATTTTTTTCTTAAAAATAATATAAAGTGAAAGCTAGTTTCAGGAATAGTATTTTGGCAGATACTAGCTTTATATTATTAAAATTTAAAAGCTATATATAGTTATAAATGGTCTGATTATTAGTGCTTTCTTTCTTCTGGTTATATTTTCTAAGTTCTAAAGTATAATAATTCTTGTACAGGGCAAGCATTTGCTATACCCGATCTATACAAACTGGACAATAGATTTAACCCTAAACACAATTGCCTATTGCTAAACCTTTATAGTATCTTGGAGGCTATTGCTTTTAAATTTTATTTTAAATATTTTTTGTTTTATTTTTTTGGTTTATTCTTTTTAAATAAAAATCTTTTATTTGATATTTATATTATTTTTAATATGTCAGAATCTAAAAAAATTAAATATCTTACTGAAAATATATTGGTAGTCATCTATTAAAACCAATTTGGAATTTTTATAATAGAGAAAAAATATTAGATAATTTAGGACATTATGAAGCAATTTGTAAAGCATGTGATAAATTATTTTCACTTAGAAAACCAGCACAAATGGAAAAATATATAATTAGTGAATGTACAAAGTTTCTGAAACAGTAAAAGAAGCAGTTGTATATATTATTGAATCTCATAATAATTTACCAAATACTTCTGAAAATAAACATTCAAATGAACAATTAAGTTTAGATAAATTTCTTGAAAGTACAACTATTCCAGATAAATGTATTAAATTAATAAACAGAGTACTTATTAAAGCATTTGTATATTGTAAATTACCTTGGAGACTTATAGAACATCTATTTTTTATTGAATTTTTAAAACAACTTTATCTTGCTTATACTCCACCTTGTAGAAAAACTGTTGCAAATATTTTATTAACAAAAGAAATAGTTAGAATTGATACATATTTATATAAATTATTAAAAGATAAAAAAAATTTGACATTAGATATTTAATTTTATTAATTATTTATAATTTAATTAAATTTAAATTAATTTAATTTAAATTTAAAAAAACTATATACTTACTATAATTTATTAATTTATTTTAACTTTAGATGGATGGACTAGTTTAACAGATATTTATTTAGATAATAGTAAAGATATTTTTTGGAAAATTCAAGATTATTCAAATGCAAGTCATACTGCTGATTTTTTAACAAAAGAAATTCAAAAAATACTTAAAGATATTGGAACTGAAAAATTTATTGAAATAGAGATGCTAATATTAATTTAGCAAGAAAACAAATTTCTCAAAAATATTCACATATATTAAATATTAGATATGTTGTATATTCATTTAATTTTATTACAAAAGATTTAATCAAACATCCTTTTACAACTAAAATTATTCAGTGGTGTAAAGTCTTGGTTTTATATTTTAAAAAAGCCATTTACCAAATAATCTTTTACTAGCCAAAATTTCTGAAAAAAATATATCAGGTGGTGGATTAAAAACTTATATTGATACAAGATGGACAACTGTTTATGAGATGTTAAAATCAGTTTATCAATTAGAAATATATTTAAAAGGGGTATTATAAAATTTATATATATTAATTATTAAAATTATTATTAAATATAATTAACTTTTATAATTTTTATTTAGATAATTAATAAAAATCCTTTAGTTATAACAAATAAATCTGTTAAAACAATTATTTGTAGAAAAAGAGAATTTTTTAATGATGTTTATGATTTAGCTAAAATTTTTAAACTTATTAGGAAGGCTATTTATTATTAAGTTAGAAAATAGAAATGCAATATTAGCTGATTGTTATTTTTCATTAATAAGTTTAAGAAATTCAATTCATAAAATGCCTAAAGAAACTTATAAGCATTTTCAACAACATGCTGTCAAAGTATTTAATTCTAGATTTGAAGAATATAAATTTGATAAATATCTTTTAGCATATTTTTTTCATTCAGGCTATAAGGGTAAGTTAATTATTATTTAATTTTTTAAATTATTTAATATTTAAATTATTTAATTTTAAAATTTATAAATTATTTAGGTATTGGTATTCAAAAAAATAAATTTTTAAGAATTGCAACTTCAGCAGCTAACATATAGCAACAAATAATAAAAATTTTAGAAATTGCAAGTTAATTGAAAAATATAAACATTCTAAACAACAATCAGGAGATATACTTATTGGTTAATTTAGAGAATTTTATTTAAATAAGAATCCATATAATGCATCTTTTTCATCAAATATTGATACAGTTTAAGTTGGTAGAAAACATGTACAGACACATTACACAAAATTAGGCCGATCAGATATCACTATGATATTTCAAATTTACTTTATTATTTTATGAATAATCACCAACTGATCCCACAGCCTTTTTTTTTAATAACTTCCTTTACTCTATCTAGAATTGAGTCTATAAACTGAAGAGTTGTTTCAAATGCAACATTATTCCATACTGCAGTAACAGCCTCTTCTAAGTCAGGTTGATTATGTGGCTTTTGGTTCTTATGAATCTAACATTTAACTTCCCTCCAAACATTCTCAATAAGACTAAGGTCTGGAGAATACGGAGGCCATTTCATAGGTACAATTCCAAGCTCTGCTTTAATTTTTTTTACTGGTTTACTTGCTCCGTCTTCTTGAAATATTGCATCGTCTGTAGCCATAATTATGGATAAACAGTATCCACAATAATTTCTCTATATGCTTCACCATTCATACGTGGTAGGCAGCGAACCAAATAGGGTAAATTATATCTATTTATACATCCCCAAACTATAATTGATTTTCGACCACTTTTAACGGTTGCTTGTGTACAACTTTGATCATATACTTCTTATTTGCGACGCCAAACTCAAATTTTTCCATCTGAGTCAGTGCTGACAGATGATTCATCAGTCTATAAAACACATTGCCAATCTTCTTTAGTCCAATTTTTATGTTTCTTGGCCCAATTATAATGTTCACGTTGTGCTTTTTTTGTTAAGAATGGTTTTTTGTGTGCAATATAAGATTTAAAGCCATTTTTTTTTAATGTTTTTACCAGGATACTTGGGGCTATAGAAGGGATTGGAATTCTGCAGCAAGAGAACGTTTTGTCATTTTTCGCATTGAGGGGTTAGATTTTACTTTTCTTATAATTAAACGTTCATAATGCTTATTCACAAGTGGTTTTCTACTACTAGACTTTCTTTTAAGGTAACTAGAATTATCAGTTAAACGTAATCATTTAAGACAGTTTTTAACAGAAGTATCCGATCTACCAAGGATACGTGCAATTTTGGCAGCAGACATGCCCTCTTTTTTGAGCTTTTCTACCGTAAAGCATTCGGCCTCCATAAGATCTTTATTATAACCCATTTGTTTGTACAAGCAAAAATTTTATTCTGATTTCCATTTAAATAAAACTATTACAAAGGCATTTGCCTTTTGTTAGTGCGCAGTAATATGCAGGTACAATGTCAATTGTTAAAAGACAATTATCATTTATGATAATATCTAAGATATCACGATCGGCCTAATTTTATGTGATGTGTCTGTACAACAATACCACCATATTTACAATTACTTGAAATTAAACTTTTTTCAATTACTCCACATGCAACAAGTTGTGAAAGAATTTGGTCTATTTATAGATGGATGACAGGAAAAAGAAAAATAAATTTATCAGTTGAAAATCTTGAATTATTAGTTAAAATACATTCTTATTATATTACTAATAAAACAACTGAATTAAATTTATATAGCCAAGAACATACAGTTGAAGAAATTTATCAAGAATTATATAATGCACAAATTGAAGAAGATGAGGAGGAAAATAAAAATGAAATTAAAAATCAATTAAATGTTAATTTAGATAAATATAATGAAAATGATTTAGATGATAAACAAGGAACTGCATGGGAAAATTTAAATTTATTAGAAATAATTGATTTGGAAATGGATACTTTTAAAGATACTATGATAATCAAGTAATAGAAAATTCAGATAATAAAAATGAATTAAATGATTTTATTCAAGATTTAGAAAGTGAAGAAGATTATAATCCAAGTGAAATAGCACAAAAACATTTTGAAGATATTGATGAAATTTATTATTATTAATAATTAAATAGTTAAATTTTTTTATTATTATTGAATTTTATATTATATATATATAAATTTTTTCCTTAAATAATTAAGGTTTTTTATTTATATATATATATAATATAAAATATTTTATTTATATTATGTTTTTATTATTATTAGTTTATTTGTATAAATATTTTTTATTAAATATTTTTTAAAAATAAATTTAATTTATATATTATAATTTTAAAATTATTAAATTATATTTTTGAAATTTCGGATTATAGTTTCGGGTTTCGGATTATAGTTTTGGGTTTCAGGTTTCGGGATTTCAGTTTTTTTTAAAAAAATCCGAAACTAGTTTCGGATTAGTACTTTCCGAAACTAGTTTCGGGTAGGTTTCGTTTTGAGTACCAACTTTAATGCAAATTACAAGCAAGATTGAGAGCAAAAATTTGGGCAAAATTCCGAAAAAATAGATATAAGGTTGAGCATTTTGCGTGCATGAAATTTGAAACAATCCAGATCAACCAGATGAACCAGGTCATCCGGGTTGTAACTCGGTAATAAAGTTGTGAGCAAGCTCAAAACTTTTATCAGGCGCAACCTCTAGTACCATATTGCCTTTTGATTTTATTAGATCTATTTGAAGGTCCAATAGAAGCTGGTAGAGAAAATTAGTAAACCCAGCATTCTCAAGCAGCTTCCTAGATATGATTTTCTTGTGATCGAAATAGCACTCAAGTATTATCTTGTACAATCTATTATTTACATTGTTAATTGATTAAACTTATAGTATACGTATGAGCAAAATCATTTAAGTTTACTACATATACTATATAATTTGAATATGAAATACGAATTACCTATAA